CTGCCTAAATGTGTTTACCAGGCTCAGAGAGAATTGCTGAAGCTTAAGAATGTAGTTAAGTTGCAAGCTGCTGTACGTGGGCATTTGGTTCGGAGGCAAGCTGTGGGAAGTCTACACTGTCTTCAAGCCATAGTCAAAATGCAAACCCTTGTTCGGGCTCGTCAATCTCGCGTTTCTTCTGACGGGAAACTAGATGGGAATCATGTGAAAGACGATCACAATTCAAAGCTCTTGGTAATGCTCTAATTTGGGTCAGTGACCTGTCTTGGGTTGCCTCTTGTCATGTTCAAATGTTTTGACTGGAGATCATACACCAGCTATCAACTTGAGACATCACTCTTTGCCAAATTAGATTCACTATTGATTGTGAGATGATAAAAAATTCTCCAGGATATCTGATGCTCGTTACTTGCTGAAGGATACAGTGTACCAAAATGTGTGCACAGCAATGCAGACATTTAAGTACATCAATTATTGCACTCACGTGCAATATCTTGAATAGATATAGGGAGCGAGCTAATTTGACATCTTTCAGTTCATTTTGATTCGAAGGAAAAACTCATCTTTGTTATCCATCTTATATTTTATCTTGTTTTCCAATAATTAGTTTTTGATGAATTGTAGGCTGAGCGGAAGTGCTTTAATTAGTTAAAACTTTCAAAATCGTTATCTAATTTGAAAATGGAATTGAGGAGCTCAATATATAATAGTACTGAATTGTCAGTTGAGTGAATGTTCTGAAAGTACTTGAGACAGTCCTCAAGATGAGGTTTTAGGAAATGCCTATGGATGTTGATCAAGGTTCTTAGTAATGAATGTCCATAAAGCAAGTCTGACCTATGACTTTTCCCCCTTTTATCCTGTGAACCTTTGGATTTGTATTTCTATATTAATTTTCATTTCATGAAAGCGAGGTTAGTAGCTTTTCATGCTTCGACAGATCATCTTTGAATATACTTGATTGAACAGATAGTTTTTGTTGAAGCCTTCACCTTCAATTATTATGTCTGATTGTCCATCGCTTGTTTCAGGAAAAGGGAGACTTATTAGCCAAACCAAATGTAAGGTGCACTTCCATTGAGAAGCTGCTTTAAGAACAAGTTTGCTCATCAGGTAAAGGAAATTCTATCTTTTTTCTCCATTGACCTGCAACTATATTGCAGGTGATCAATCTCACAATGCATTTTTTGAACTGAAACTAATTTTGTTATTCTGTATAAGCTACTGGAGTCAACACCAAGGACCAAACATATCCACGTTAAATGTGATCCTTCTAGATCTGATTCATCTTGGAAATGGTTGGAGAGGTGGATGCCTGTTTCATCAATGGGAGTTGAACATCCAAAGAAACCAGGGTTAAGAATGGAGCAACGTGAGGAGGACAAGGATGAGTGTTCTGGCTGTGAAATGGAAACTGAATTTCCATCCGGAGATTGTGAGTCAACATATTTGAAGGCCACTATCAGGGAAACAGTAGTGCCTTCTAAGGACTTGTGATGCTGACAACGTTGTCTTTCAAGCATGTGAACCAGCCTCATCTACTATAAGTGATAATCTGGAGCCACCTCAACCTGAGAACTCAGGCACATCTAATTTAAAAGAGTCATTGGATTTGCTTCCTAGTCAAACTAAGCAATCAGATTCGATTTCTCAGATGGAGCTTAAATCTAATAGTAAGCCTGAAATGGCGAATGAACATTCTGCATGTTCTGTGAGAAGTCTTGCTCCAGAACAAGTGGAGACTGAGGGGAAGAAGTTTGTGTTTGGAATGAGAAAGACAACTAACCCTGCAGTTATTGCTGTTAAGTTGAAATTTAAAGAGCTGAGCTCAACTGCTAATTCTGCAAGATCAACCAGTACATACAGTCAAGATGTTGGAGTCGAATCAAACTCAGATGCAGTTTCATATGCCATGGACAATGCAGTCAGGACAATGGAGATTGGCCTGGCAGAGAACTCGGTTTTGCATACCTCTAGGGTTAAAGTTGGTGGCTCTGAATGTGGGACAAAACTTTCTATTTCTTCCACTCTTGAATCCCCAGAAAGTTCTGAGATTGGAGCTACGGGTGTTGAGCTGGAAGCCATACTTTCTAAGAAAGGGAATAGCAATCCTGATATCACTAGGACCCTGGATATTGAAGCCAATGGTGTGACCACCATCCCAGGATCCGATTCATCCTATTCCATCTTGGTGCAGTCAGAGAAACTTGATGACGTTAATGGTGCTAATGACAAACCTGTCATTTCTGTTACAGTTGTAGATTCCTTACAGGAGCAGCCGAATGTACAAATCGAACTGGGCTCAGAGACGGGTCATAAAATGTACAAGTCATCACCAGAAGCATCTCCAAGAAGCCATATGACAGTCCTTGAATTCCAGGTAACACCTTTTAGTCAGGTTTCAGTGAAAACTGAGAGGACTAAAAGTGAAAGAGGTTCATCTAACCAGAAACGTAGGTCTAACCATGATTCTGTCACAAGGAGCAGTTTGGAACGGTTACCTAAAGAGAATAAAACTGGGAAGCAATGTAATTCTTTTGGTTCAAGGTGACCTGATTATGTTGATCAGGAACCAAGAGATAGTAATAGTAGTAATTCTCTCCCAAGTTACATGCAAGCGACAGAATCTGCGAGAGCCAAAGCTCTAGCAACTAGCTCCCCGAGATCAAGTCCAGATGTGCAAGACAAGGACATTTACATTAAGAAGAGACATTCATTGCCTGCTTCAAATGGAAGGCAGGGATCTCCTCGTATCCAGCGATCTACGTCTTAGGCACAGACGGGTGCTAAGGGAAATGGTCATCTTCATCGTATTTTCTAAAGGGTATGGCTTCTGTCCATCGGACTGGACGGTACTGTTAGGCTCGTGGGGGCCTACCACGGGTTCTGTTTTGATAATCTGAACCGTTTAATATGTAGAAATTGTCGAGTACTATATGCCTGTAAAAAATCTCGTTGATCGGATATCGATAGCTATGTGATCAAAACAGTTTTTTGTCAACCGTTAATTTGTTCACCGTCCAATTTTTTAATACGAAACTGATTTGATCATATAACTATCGATATCCGATCAATATGATTTTTTTCAGACATATAGTACTCGACGAATTCTACACATTGGATGGTTCAGATTATCAAAACGGGACCCGTGGTGGGCCTCCACGGGCCCAACAGCACGGTGACAGAAGCCATACCCTTTTCTAAACTACCTCATTTTTCTTTTCAAATAGAAGGTATTGCAAATGTAATTCATAAATCCATTGACTTAACCTAATGGACTCATCCCCATAATTTCCTTCCAGCTATGTTTAATCTATTTAGGATCTGGTACAATTTGATCTAGATCGGTGACACAGAAAATTTTGTCTGGTTTTTGTAGGTAGTTTATCGGTTTTTAGAAAACAGTTAATGCAATTTAGCGTTGAGTATTTTGACTTTCTAAGAAGAAATTCTATGATACTTATAGACTATAGGAATTTGAACTGAACTAAAAGAGTAACAAACCAAGCCTAAAGCTAAATTGCACTTGCACCTTCAGGTCAAATTCCTATGGTCTATATACCCTTCTTTTTCTTAGCTTTAATAATATCATAATAAACTTCTGGCGAATGGGGAGATAGATTCATAAGCATCTCTGCTGCTTGTGGTAAGTTGGATTTCACTTCAAGTTATTTTTTTTTTTTTTTTTTTGTGTCAGCTAATTACTCTATTGTCACCCTTTTCAGATGCTCGTAATCATTCTTTAGTAATCATTCTTAGGTCATCATCTACCCTTTAAACTTCAGCATAATGTTACACAGTTTGTCCAAAGTCTACCAATGTGAAGTTTTGGTATATATTTGGTTATTTATTGCCTGAATCTTGTTTGTTTAAGAGAGAAAGTGGCAAAGGTGAAGAGTAGATGTTTAATTTTGATTATCGACACAGGCATGCCTTGGATTCAGGTTTGTTGGTGGAGAATGTAGAGAACGAAGTGAAATTTTATGTAAAGTGGTGAACTACCATCTTTTTTTTTTTTATTTGATTATGAAGAAATCTATTTTGGAGGTTTGCTTGTATTTTTGTTCGATAGTATATGCACCTTTGTTTAAGATTTGTTTTAAGATGGTTTTGGTGATTATTAACTTTTGAGATATTGGGTTATACGTTCGAGATTTTTTTTTTTTTTCAAAAATTTTGACTGAAATATATATTAAGTTGCGTTTTTTGTGTGTTTTGTTTTAGGGGCCTTTTTTACTCAATCTGCCGGGCCAAAACAGTTGACCGTGCACCACTCAAACACACAAGTCCGAATCCAGGTATAGGTGCAGCTTCCTATGTTTCTGATCCACAAGTTAGTTTTAAGTTTGATTTTTTCCTTTTCACGTACAAGCTGGAGCTGGGCTTAATTGAGTTGGTTCCATTCAAGCTCGAGTTTCTTTTTTTTGGAGTTCGGGTTTCTGAAATTGAAGGAACCAAACTCAAGCTCAACTTGAGCTGTTCTCGAACTCGATTAATTTTCTGTGAACCAAGCTTTAATACCAATGTTTTGAGTTAAGTTCTTGATCCAAGAGTATCTTCTATAAATCACAAAAAAACAAAACAAAAACAAAATAAAAACAAAAACAAAAAACCAAGTGCAACTAAGAGCAACTCCAACCATGCTCTTCATTTTTCGCTAGCAAAAGTACAAAAATAATACACTACTTATTTTATCTAATTGCCTTAGCTATTATGCTCTCCAATCACTCTTTATTTTAACTAATCATTCAAACTAACTTAACCAATTTTTAAAACAAAAAATACTAATTGATGATATTTTTCCAATGTAAATTTGCAATAATATTTCTTTAATATGTTTTAAAAATATATATGTTTAACAAATATATTTTTTTTCACAAATATTTCTTTTTTAAAACAAAGCAAAACACATATATTAAATATTAGGGAAATTGTTCACATCTTTAGCAATCAAATAAATTGACCGGATGTTACAAGCATACAAAATTTGTGGAATGATATGGAGCAGGAGAAAATACATATATATATATGTAACATAAAGGAAATTCGTTGATAATTTATCAATTTAAGAACTGAAAAAACACAAATTAACTAAGCAAAAACCTTACAAAGATCAAGAAACAAACTCGGGAAGGGGGAAATCACAAATAGCAAAGTCGGAAATAAACTTCAAAATAAATAAACTATATCTAATACATAAAGTTTTTACAAATCTCCATGTTGATGCCACAAATGCTCAATTAGATCTGCTTGGAATAATCTCAAAACCAATATTAAATCAGCACATATTATGATGCTCATCTATCCATTCTCAGCAAACGAGTTAAAACCTGCACATAGCAAATGAGTTAAAACCTGCACATATTATGATGCCTATGGAATGACTAACAAATCCAAGGCGAACCTAAGTGAAATGCAGTAACAGGATCTTAAAACCATCATAAAAATGCAGTAACAGGATCTAAACCCATTGGAACTTTCAATTTCCCCACATATGTTCCAAATGATATTATCAAGTCAACAGTGATAAATAAGAACAAGAAAGACCCATATGGCAAATCAGAAGACTACAAAACCTAGGATTTTCATTGAGGATGCAGGGTGACTTCTACTAATCATGTGCAAAATAACAACCAAACACAGATGCTACCACTGTTGGGGAAAAGAAAAAAAAAAACAGAGATTGAATAGATTTTGGGTATTGGAAAGCAGAACAAATCATCATCAAATAATTTCTACCAAAATCTATAGATTTCCAAAGCCATCAGATGCTACCACTGTTGTGGTCTCACAATATATATATATATATATATAAATATATTATAAAACTAATATACACTCCATGCTTATTCCCACATTGTTTGGGATCTTCAATGTATATCACTTGAATGTTATAATCACAAGAAAACTAGACCCCCAATCTTATATAACCATATAATACACAATAGACATATTAACTTATTAGCAAAGCCTGAAACAACAAATGCAAACTTCCAACATATTCAATATTCAATATAACCTTTTGTCAGGTTGAACCTCCCATTAGAGTTCCCACCAAGGGTCATATATATTCTTCAAGGTGGGTCCATGAGAACATGTAGAGTTTTTAAAGAACTCTCCATGTTTCTCCCCCACTTTCATTCCCATTCCCAAACTCTTTTTTTCACTTTATATTTATAATTTGTATGAATACCAACAAAAACACATGTCCTTCCATGTTTCTCCCCTTTTCATTTCATTCCCAAACTCTTTCACTTTATATTAATAATTTGTATGAATGGCAACAAAAAAAAAATGTCCCTCTGCTTCTTAAAGAAAGAAAAATAAAAATGATCCACAAATATAATTGTTAGTCCATTTTAATGTTTGACTATCTATAAGGTGTATAATTGTTAGTCCATATTGTTTTTCTGCATTTTAATGATCTCCATATTTGCTATCCTTTACAAATCACCCCATACACATGTTATAACTACTTACAAAATGTAGAAGGTAATAAATAATTTTTAAATTATCCCGGCCCCTCCACAGCTCCGCCCTAATTCTATTTCTATTTTCAAGTTGAACAATCTACTAACAGTAATGGTTGTATATGTATGTGCTACAGTTTTATAAATTATCCTAGTTAGAAATTGAGGTTTACGAAGCCATTAGATCATTCTGAAAAATTTCTGATCAGTCCAGCATAAAGTTCTGTTAACCAGGAACGCAATGAAAAGTTCGAATAGGTAGGTGTGCTCTACATATTCCTTCTCTAATATGAAGGACACATCAAAAACTAACATTGATCATTGAAAGTAAAACTCACCAATCAGGACAGTCTCTTCGACTAGAGATAACAATTGTCTACCTATCTATTACACACTCCCCACCAAACTAAACAGCATCTATATTCAAGGAAATAGGATAACACCACCTCAAAATTTCACATGAAATTTTACTCAAAACCCAATTAAAACACATAAACATAACCTACAAATCAAAGAACTAGATAAAAAAAGAAAAGGAAAACAAACCCAATTTGATCTATTGGCTCGACAGTATGAGCAGCACCAGCACCGTTAAAAAGCTTCTGATCATCATCGGCAACACTATCGAGCCAATAGGAATTCCAGTGGTTGGGATGGTCATGAAGAGCACAGACATGACAACGAAATACCTTCTCCCTTGACTTCATATTCTTCAGTTCCACCTCCATCATCCGCATTTTACCGTAATAATCACAATTTATAAAATACAAAACAGTAATTTTTGAGAAAACCTTAAAAGCAAGTGTAGACATGGCAAACATAGCTGAGAAAATGGAAAACTTAAGCCTCCACTCTTTTTTGTATAAAATAAGTATTATTTCCAAAATAGATGCCATAAGTTGGCCTAAAGTAGAAATAAGACCAAAAACTTCTAGAAATGCAATAGGTTTTTTGTTTTTCTTCAGCCATACAACTTCTACAATTGCAAAACTAAATGCAATCACCGCAAAACCAAGCCCCACGTAAGAGTATATTATATTTTTTTCATTTCCAACTTGTTCAACTGTGGCACTTGCAAATTCTAGCAGGACATTGAAGGCAGCACAGTAAAAATCTAATTGTTGTTCCTTAAAAAACTTAAACACTATGAACTTCAATTTCCCGAAAACTTCGTTGGTGAAGGATAACACTATGAAAACTATGTGAAACACTATGGCCTTCATTTTCTCAAAAACTTTGCAAGTGAAGTGACACGCTTTGAAAAACAGGTTAAACACTTTGGACTTCACTTTCTTGAAAACCTCGCAAGTGAAGTGAAGCACTATGAAAAACATAGGAAAGACTTTGGAAAACATTTTCTATATCTATAATACAGAGAAGGGATAGGTGGAGGATAGAGAGAAAATGAAGGTTGGAGAGAGGGAGAACATAAGAATGGATGGTCCACTCCAATTTATAATGATCTAACGAAACTATCTTCTTTTTTTTTAATGCATGATTTTTTTTTTTAATGCACGATTTTCTTTTTTAATGCATGATTTTCTTTTTTAATGCATGAATGATTTTTTTTTAATTCACGATTTTTTTTTAATGCAGATTTTCTTTTTTAATGCACGATTTTGTTTTTTAATGCATGATTTTTTTTTTAATGCACGATTTTCTTTTTTAATGCAGATTTTTTTTTTAATGCATGATTTTGTTTTTTAATGCATGATTTGTTTTTTAATGCACGATTTTCTTTTTTAATGCACGATTTTGTTTTTTAATGCATGATTTTTTTTTTTTAATGCACGATTCTGTGTTTTAATGCATGATTTTTTTTTTAATGCACGATTCTGTGTTTTAATGCATGATTTTTTTTTTTAATGCACGATTCTGTGTTTTAATGCATGATTTTTTTTTAATGCATGATTTTGTTTTTTAATGCATGATTTTTTTTTAATGCACGATTCTGTGTTTTAATGCATGATTTTTATTTTTTTTTTTAATGCACGATTCTGTGTTTTAATGCATGATTTTTTTTTAATGCACGATTTTGATAGGTTGAATGCTTTTGAAAATGTTGTATGATTTTTCTTGTGAACAGATTATGTGAAACCGTGGTTCCAAACCAAGCCGAACCGTGTTTAAATGGTCTGGTTTGGATTGGTTCGATGATTTAAATGGAAACAAAATTTTAAAACACACACAGGATTATTGGGCCCACGGATTAATAATCTCAATCCTATGCTCTAATCCTGTCAATCAAATATGCCCTAAAAGTATTCTTGTTGAACATGAACCACATTCTAATTAATAGTACACTGTAAAAAATCATATTCTTTTCAATTTGAAAGAAATCAAATTTTAGTTCAAACTATATTCTAATTTACAACCAATTAACCAAAATGCCCAATATTGATTGAGCAACAACAAATAATGGCCTTATTTAAATATTTATTCATAGTATTTTTACTAACACCTAAGCTTCATGATAAATATTGAATAGTGATAGGCATTATTTTATAAATTTATGGATCCAGTGTTTTTAAAGGCTCAAGGCGCACTAAGGCGCTGAAGCTCTCTCAGGGCCTAGGCGCAAGGCGAGGCGCAGGCTTTATTGAAGTAAGGTGCACAGTTTTCGTAAAAAAATAGAAAAATTAATATAGACTAATCATTCATAATACTAAGACAATTTTTTACATACTAGTACTTACTACACAACACAAAAAATAAATAACAGAAAAAAAAACAATTTCAGTATAATGATTATTACATAAATAAAAAAAAATAACAATTTCATACATACAATTTCAGTATAATGTTTAAATTAAATAACAATTTCAGTATAATTAATTAATTCATACATACATAAATAAAAAAAAATAGATACATAAATTAATTAATTATTATGATTATTACATACATAAATTAATTAATTAATTAATTCATACATACATAAATAAAAAAATAATTAATTCATAAATAAAAATTATTATGATTATATGATTATATAATTAATTCAAAAAATAAAAATAATTAATTCATAAATTAATTATTATGATTATAACAATTTCAGTATAATGTTTAAATTAAATAACAATTTCAGTATAATGATGAATCAATTTCAGTATGATCCTAATGAATGTAATGTATCTATTTTTTTTATTTATGTATGTATGAATTAATTGATTAATTTATTTATGTATGTAATACTCATAATGAATGTAATGTAATGTATGTATAATCATAATGAATGTAATGTATGTATGTATGAATTAATTAATTTATTTATTTATGTAATGTATCTAATTTATTTATTTCAGTATAATCTATTTATGTATGAATTAATTAATTAATTTAATTTAATTCATGTATGTCATTTTTTTTTTTTTTTTTAACAGAGACAGAGTCAAAACAAAACAGAGACTGAGTCAAAACAAAGGAAAAAATAAAAACAAAAAATAGAACAGAGCTAACTAGCAGAACAAGTGGGGAAGAAAAAAAAACAAAAAAACAAAACAAATAGAGCTTCGATTCGACAGAGAAGAGCCCAGTCGGAAGACGAAGAGGAGCCCAACGAGCGAAGCAGTAGAAGAAGGAAAAAAAAAAAAAAAACAATCGAGGTTCGAAGAAGGAGTCGAAGGAGGTTCGACAGAGGTTCGCGAAGAAGAAGAAGAAGAGGAGGAGGAGTACCTGGTTCGAGAGAGAGAGACGAGCCCAGTCGGAAGGAGTCAAAGGAGCTTCGTCGAAGGAGAACACCGATTAGGGCTTCGATCAAAGTTCGATTTGAGTCCTCTTCTCTTTTTAGATGTATTGTATTGCATCTGAGCTGTAATCGTATGTGTTGGAGGCAAGAGCTTCACAATTTTCAGCCGTCAGATATGAATTAAGCACAAACCGAAGAAGCTCGACTAGGCGCGCGACTTGCGCCTCTTCCAGGCGCACCCAAGGCGCGCGACTGTTATACCTCGCCTCGACCATAAAAAAAAAATATTAACTAAACTAAATAGTTAAACTACTATCATACATTTTTGAGAATCTGCATCACAAACTTTTGAATATCAAAATTCAACTTGAAAAGAACTACACACAAGTCCAAAATGATTTCAGCATATAGCCAACGAATATAATTTTTTTGGTGAAACCAAATGGAGCCCAAGTCTCACTTGGGCACAGAGATTTTGAATATGTAAATGGTATTAAATAATGACACAACAAGGATGTTCACATTTTGATGCAGTCTTTAGTCTCTGAACTTACGGTTGGCAAATATTCAAAAGTAATATTGCCCCTTCCCCTTTTGTGTTGATGTCCAGTTTCCATTGTACCAAAAAAATTAAATACAATAAATTAAGTAGTTGAAAATAGAGATCTTACTAATTTTAATCCTCTATTTCATGTAAAAAACAGAAATCCAACCTATATTGTCAACTATTCTTTTTCCAAAATTAAATTGACCCCCCTCAGTCTTGCACAAATCTTGCTGGGCACCACCTAACCCAACTACCCTCCATTCTCCTGGGAACTCGGCAGCCGGTCAGTACCATCTCGGCCATCGTCTGCCATGCTGCGCTTCTTACCCAAGTACTCCAACAGCTAAGCTCAGATGGGGACCAGACTCGGCTGCATCTCAGCAACGCCGAGCTCGGGACAACTCACACTTGTCTGCGGTCAACCTGTCTGCCGAGCAAACAGGTACCCCGGCTTCATAACCACGGATCCTCGCAGCTTGTTTAATCCACGCGCTGCCTTAACCGAGCAGCTTCCTTCACGACCGGGCCACACAACTTGGCCCAACGCCTGTCCGGCCCAAATCTATCCGGCACAACTCTGTTCGGTCCAAATCTGTCCGGCATAACGCTATCCGGTCCAAATCTGTCCGGCATAACTCTGTCCAGCCCAAATTTGTCCGGCACAACTCCATATCATTAATCTCCCTCTCAATTGCCCCTTAATTCCGTCCGCAAAAGCGTGACATGGATTACATATTCCGACCGGGATAACACTTCCTCGGTCCTCAAGATACGAAACGGTAACCGGGCTAGTTGACTCCTGTCTGCGAAATTTGTTCGCTCCTACTCCTCGGTTGATGTTCTCTTCTTCAAAAATTGCCCGGTTGTCTCCTCGACTCTTCAACCTGTCCTTTCAGTTCTAACGTCGTCATAAATGGGGACATGTGGCAGGCTTCCATTGGACCTCGAGCAGCCAACCCAGCCGTCTACCAGAATTTGAATTCTTGGCAGTTTCTCCGTCTATACATACAAGCCCCCTCTTCCTCATTCGCTCCTACTGCCTCTCTGTAATCCGACGCTTCAGAGCTCAAGCACCTTTCTCCAAGCCTCGTCTGCCATTCTTTGTGCTCGAAGGAATAGTCTCTGCCCTTCACTGGTAAGTCCTTCAACTCCTCTTTTGTTGCTATCTTCTTAAATATTCCACACATTAGGGCACTAAAACATAGCTCTTAGGACATAGGCCATAGAAATCGTCCCAAACCTCCCACTGTTCATGGTGTTCTTCATTTTTGCTGATGAACTTCGAAGAACTGGGGCGGACCGGGCTCCAAGTCTTCGTTTGATCCAAAAAACCATCTCGACCGAGCAAATAACCTGTTAGATATAACCATAGCAAGAACCGGGATAACAAAGGTCTTGGCCGCTCAACCAGGCTAAAATCTGGTCTGCTTGGGCGGTCGAGCTCCTTGTCAGCCTCTACGACCGAGGTGGTTTGGCACTCTAGACGACCGAGCTAAAGTCAAGCTCGCTTTGCGCGACCGCGCTCCCTCTTACACTTGCCCTCCTTTTCCTGCAGAGTCCAAGGGGACCATTGTCCAATCCTGAGGCTCCCAAAGACCAAGCAGCCACAAATCACCTGACAGTGCCAAACCAAAGCCGAGCTAATTTAGCCGGTCGTAAATGGGGAAATTCCGCTTCCTCGTAGATACTCTAGCTGCGCTAGCTGTGTTCAGGGAGGAGTACGGCATCCCGACCGACGTCCACTTTGAGCTCGCAGAAGAAGAGACCACCCCTTGGGGCAGAACAAAACAATGCCCCTTCACCGTGCTGTCCATCGTCGAAGTAGGCCTCAGCTTCCCGCTCAACCCACTTATCATCGAGTTCCTCCGCCGCACCGGGCTGGCACCCACACAAGTGTCCACCAACACTTACCGAATTATCAACGGCGTCCATGAACTGAACAACCGGCTAGGCACCAACTTAGGTCTAGCCGAGATATTAAGGCAATACACGATGGGTCACACCGGTGACAACCTAGCCTATTATTTGAAAATCAAACCGGGCAAGGAGAAAATTGTAACCGACACCCCGGATAAAGACTTGCACAACGACGATTTTTTCTGGGTGTCGGGCAATTACGAAACAGCCGAGGTACCGGGCTGGTTTATAAGCAAGAACTTCGGTTCCTCATGTAAGCCGCTCAAACTTGCTTGGTCAGCCTACCTTCTTTATTCTGTAATTAACCAGTTTTCTTGTTTCTTTTGCAGCAATCCCAGCCTTGCAAGCCAACTACCAATTTCCCAACGTAGAGGCAATTCGGACCGTGCTCCGCCATCGCCACCGAGATTGCAACGAGCTGCTCGGTTACACTCCAACCTACAGAT